TCGCGGGCACGAAAAACTGGCAATGACGAGTTAGTGCTGAATAGACGGACTAGGGAAGGGTGGTGACAGAACCGGATTTAGTTTAAAATCGTAAGGACTGGGCGCGGAAAAATTTCTACTACTAGTGTAATTGTAATTTGAGAACGGCAATATGAAATATAATATACTATTATCATCATGTTGCATATTATACTTTTTTCTACGGCCATTAGTTTTTGGCTACACCTTTGCAAAAACAGCACGAATATACTCAAAAAATGACGTGTGACACGACTATCAGAACCGACAAAAGTCAAAATGCCATGTGTACAAACGCTTGAAGTGCCTTGCGACAGTGTTTAACAACAAACTGCCGTTATTTTGCGTATGTCTGTTTATTGATTAAGTCTTCATGTTTCCCTAATATATATTAATTTCATATATTCAAAATCAAACCAAATTAAAATAAGTTTTAAATTATAATAAATTTATTATATATATAGTTTACTTTCATTATTGTAATTTACATGACAGTAATGAAATTAAATGTAAAGTCAAATACTATCCAGTATGTGCAAAATGTATGGAAATCCGAATTTACGGTTTCCATGCAAAATACATACATCCATTTTTAACAGTAGTTGTGTTCTGCTAAAGATACATGCAGAAATGGACGTAGAAATTGCACCGTGTCTACCGTGTCTATTATCAATTCACGCAATAATTTTGGTGTACTAAGATGAAGAAATTGAAAACACAGTACCAGAAGCAAGTATACCAGTAGCTATTGCGGAAGATTCAATCAATAACCAAGAGGTTACAGAAGACACTTCTTTCGAGCTTGATGCTGCTTTTGATGGAATATTAGAAAAAAATGATTGTGAACTATTACAACCCCAATAACATCAACCTAAAGATGGTAGTAGTAGGGAAGTACCACACACATAGAGATTATTCAGGTTGAGGAGAACACAGAACTTTATTTACCGCGTCGTATTTACTACTGAATTTCCAGCAGAAGTCACCATAGAAAACGTGAACAACATGAATGATATTAACAAAAGAAATATCGTTATTTTGAGTAATTGAGTAAGTAGGAAATCATATGATGTCATATGTCCTATTTACAAACTAAACAAAATGCGATTTTTTATAGCTCATTACCATTTCTATGGAAAATAAGAATAAAGGACCAATTTCAACAGTACTTGTTTCAAAGGTTACTCCAAGCATTGATATAAACAGTCAATAAGAGCATCCTGCTATTAAATTGAGAAACGTAGCTTATACAAATATTTTACAAGCTAAAAATATTACTAATTTATCCAATAAAAAACTGGAGATAATGTGCTACTAGGGAAATAATAAATGACTCAATCAATTTTTAAGGTTCCGTACCCAGAGGGTATAAACTATTAGTCTTATTACTAAGACTGTCTGTCCGTCTGTCTCCAGGATCTATCTCATGAACCGTGATAGCCAAATAGTTGAATTTATTACGGATAATGTATATATAAGAATAATAACTAAAAACAGAAAAACTGGCGCCAGCGGGCACGTTTGTTCTGTTAACTCCAAATTGCTCTTGAACCGTGATAGCTATACAGTTGAAATTTTCACAGATAATTTCCGCTATAAAAAATAGATTCTAAAAACAGGAAAATTGATGCAAGCGAGTACCAAAAAAAAGAGATTTTTTTTGGTGCATGGTACCGGACCCTTGTCGTGCGCGAGTTCGACTCGCAATTGTCCAGTTTTTAGTTAATAAAATATTCTCCAATGTTTAATAGGTATTAGTGAATTCGATAGAGGAAGAGACGACCTAGCTAATCTCATTGGCAGTTTCGGCAGAAAAAGAAGGAAAATTTAATGTCGGTACAACATTGTAGATACCAGGTTAGAAAGAAATTCTCTGCGGTCAACATAATTCAAAAAATTGAAACTAAACGACGTACCTAATAATGAAACAAATGTTCGAACGCTTGTTCCTAAAGGTTCAGTTGGTTTTGGATAAGGATTTAAACACTGCAGTTGTTCAAGAATGTGCAATTAAAAAAGGTGAAAATGTGTAAAAACTAGCTATTTATGCAATTCAGGTTGTCATGCTAAAAGAAGCAGTATTAATCATTAATTTTGTATAGAAAAAAATACATTTATTTTTTTTTAATAAAATTCTGAAATCCATAGAATTTCATCTTTTATTAAATAGTTTTTTTACGACTCAATCTTCTGGAAGGGACAAAAAGTTCTTTATTGAACATGTTTGTAACTCAGTATATCGGTTTTAAACGGTTGCTAACCCTAAAAGCTAAGCTTCTGCTAAAACTTCTGCTTATTCCTTGAAATAGGCAAAATAAAATTACAGAATTACCCATGACATGAAATGTGCAAGGCTACTGCCTATTTCATGAATTCGGCAAAAAATTGCTGAATACATAAAATCGGCAATTACGCAAATTCGGCGTAACACATGCATTGCGATCTCGGAAACTGTTAGAGATAGAAAAACGGTTAAATAAAGGTTTTGTATTTTTTTTTGAACCATCATCATTTAGTTTTTTCATATGGGCGCCATGTTGGATTTTTAGAGTTTCAAAAAGCTTTTTTTTACGTTTCTAAACATGCTTCACCAATTTCGAACACACTGTGTATGGGGTATAACAATTGTGTGATTTTCTTATCATTTCACATATATTTTTTTATGATACTTTATACAAGTATTTTTCAAAATTACAAGTAGATATTAATTACTTTCTAAAAGCTAAAAAATTAGATATATTACGTTTCGGTATGTAAAACTGACACATATGAAATTGAGGTGCAGTTTTGACAGATTGTCCAACAAAAAATACTGCAAGCTCCTACATTTAAGGGGGTGTTGAGTAAGGAAAATCCGAAAATAAAGGAAAATTGTTATTTGTGGAAACAGACGAAACTAGAGATTTGTCGTTAACAGAGCTTCAATGTCGCGTTTTACTTGAACAACTGCAAGTGTTTGGGCTAGCTAAGGAACTGTAACTTCACAAGAAAAATGCAAAGCTTGACAAAACTATATTGGATTTGAATAAAAATGAGGAAACTGAAAATAAAATTCTCAATTTCTGGGAAAGAATTATCCAATTTTACTTTTAAGTTACTACTCTCCAAACATTTGATTTCTGTAGGATATAGGTTGGTAACAGTTTGGGAAACTGTCGATTGATGGGCAGCAATATCTTCTGCTACGCCAATTTGGAATCTTGGAACACCAACGTAACGTAAAAAAAACACTCATTCTTTCTTCATTACTCAAAGCTCCGCCTCGACATTCTTCAGTATTACCAAGAAAATGGTTATTTATCCACTGAACTCTGCTAAACCGGCCATCGCATACGGAGATCACTAATTCTTATGAAGCCGAGTCTGCTACTAAGGATAGAGTCAATCGCTATTGATTCGGTCACTTTCATTCAATCACTTCATAGGATCGAACGACCGAATTCCGTTTGTTCGTAACGATTCGATCACCTTTTTCGTTCGCGCTGCCTCCCTGATCGGTCTGAAGTGAGACCGCGACCGATCGACCGACCGTAGTAACACACATCGAATTTGCCTAGCGGAATACGGTTCATTTGGATGGTTTAAGATTGAAATGCAGGACAGAAACGGATCACGCAAAAGGAATTAAATGTTATAATAATTGTATAGGATTAAGTTGACGGTATCGATTGGTACATTTGCTTATCATGTTGAATTGAATATTGAATGAAATACCTATTTCCACGCAGGCATTTAATTTAAACAAATTAATGTATTACTCGCACAACCCAATACTTAGTACCTATTTTGATAAAATCATGATGCAATAAAAAGCAGAACAAAGCTAACTATGATTCTAACTAAAACAGAAAATATAGACACCACAATAATTCAAATGAATCTGAATCGGTCGTTCGGACTACTCGGATTCAGTGACTATTGTCGCTTATGCTTTATAGCTTGATTGAAAAGATTCGGTCCTTTTCGAAATCGGTCATTGATTGATTCGGTTCTCGTAAAATAAACGATTGACACAACACTAAGCAGCCTCGCATTTTCGAAAGTAGATACTCAGTGGACGGGGTAGATGCTCCCGTTTATGCATTTAAAAATAAAAGTGGGTGCATAATGAGGGAGTACATCCTCAAGGAAAGAGCAGACACTCACAAGTTGGAAATTGCCCATATTTTCATGCATATCAAATGGAGTCGATTCTTTAAAAATGTGAGTAAAAAGTAGCCCCTTAACTTTATCAATATCACCAATTGATACCAAAAATGAAAACAACAATGGCACAAGGCACAAACTGACAATACTTAGCTCAGCGTTGACAATTATGTTCGGATTTCAGAGACTGATGTTGCGTTCTTATAAAAATTAATCAATTTCCCAAAAAATTACGGCAATGTCGCAATTCAGTCAATTGGGGGGCCACGTAAATGCAAGATATCCATCCATACACTCTCTACGAAAATATAGCCACCTGTCGCGCATCAATATTTACCGTAGTACGACCGCTATAATATCTATGGTGAAATGTAGAGACATGTGCAGAAAATGATTCCCTTCTCAACGAAAATATCTATGCCGCTGCGGCGCATCAATTTTTACCGTAGTAGGGCCACTATATTATCCAATTATTATTCATATAGCTAATAGATATACAGAGATAGAGATACTCAGATAGCTAATCTGGATACAGATGTCCTGCCAACAATACAGGAACTTATGAATAGAAAAATTTTTCATAAGGTTCATTCAAAACGCGCATCACGAAATTCAATACCCTTAATACAGATCTCCATTCTGTGGTACTCATGGTGATTTAGAATTAGGTCTTAAGGCAAAGTGACTAAAAGATATCTTCCAATATGTTTCAATTTTTTTTTCAAATTTCTACATCACTCCATGCTCTGTTGGCAAATAACTTCTCCAGGCATTTTGTTTGATATTCCTTTTATAAAAACTGTGAAATTCAAATCAGGAAATACTACATTAAATTGAACAATTATTTATTAATCATCTATATTTCACAAAATAAAAGTATAATAAAAAACCTGTTACAATTATAATCCAATATTAATAGAGTTATTGAAGGAGTTATTTAGCTTTAGATTTCTGCGGTTAGAATCTTCAATTTTAGAAATTTCTTCAAGCAGGCTGCTTATCTGTGCTGTATTTTGATCTATCCACTGCAGAGAATTCATATGAGAATTCAATATTTTACTTATCTGTGTTATCTGAAAAGGAAGAAGTTTCCTAATTTTAATACAATAACGTGCAATACAATATTTTCTTATCCTAACAATATAAAATTTACTCTGACATTAAAATACTAAATGCCAAAACTTGATGATACTATACTTAAGCTAAGAACTTACAGGATTTGTAATTTCCTCATCCTTATTAGATTCATTGATGTTTTCAATAATTTCTTTAAGATCGTCAGAAATTTGTTTAAGTTGTGAGTCAATAATTTCAGCAAACTGATACCTGAAAAACAATTATTGGATCTATATTTATGAAAATGTAAATTAATTATTATACGTATATATACATCTGATTCCTATCAAAGTCAGTCACAGGAACATCAAGTAATTCCTTTTCCAGTGGAATTAACAATTCTTCAAGCTCTTTTTGTTGTGCCAATACAAAGTCCAATTCTTGATCCAATTGGTTCTGTTGTTGCTTTACACGCTCTATACTACTATTCAAATTTAATATTTTTTCTCCTTAAAATTACGAAGTATTACGTGTCAACAAAAAAAAAACAAATATGGACTGCAAATTAAAGTTACCATTTGAAATCAGAAGAGAATCCCATGCATTCAATTGTTTAGCTTGGTTTACAAAAAATTTTCCTTGCTCTTCAAGATCAATTGTCCACTTGTTGATGGAATCCTCAACTTGTGCAAAAGTTAAAGATCCAATAGCCGGAATACTTGACTTGGTGGTGGTTGTTTGAGTATTAGCACTTAAAAAGAAAATCTAATGTTGATTCTTGCTAATTCAATTTTAAAACTCACAGAGACTGATTTGAGGTAGTATTTATTAGTAAGGTTGCCGCACCAGATGTGGTGGAAATTGAAGCTGTGATGGGGACCTTGAGTTGCTGACTAGTGGTAGTTGTTGTTGCGGCCACTGAGCCCAAAGAAAATCCTGTACAAACTCAATTAAATGCTATTGCTAATACTATTACCCAAAACAAAAACTACACCAGAGAAGAACGCCAGTTTAGGAACTGTTAAAGCAATATTAAAAATAAAAAAACATTTGCAAATTGAGAAATTGTACAAATTTAACTAACCAGATGTAGTTGTAGATGCTGTTCCTACAATTGGTGTAAAACTGGAACTAGATGATGTTGCAGGTGACCCAAAGTTAAATGATGGTATTGATACGGGTGCAGAAGTAGGTGCTAAAAAAAATAACTTAAGTTAGATAAATAACACTTTTGATGTTTGTCATGATTTTATATTTTATATCGCCCTCTACCTGTTGCTCCTGCTGTTGCAGTTGCAGGAACAGTAAAATTGAAGGTAGAAGCGGAGACCTTTGGTTGACCTATTCCGAAAGATACACTGGTTGAACTTGAAATAGGTGCGGCACCAACAAGCGCTGCTGAAAGTTTATTGTCTCCAGAGCCACTACTCATTTGGAAAGTCGCAGAACTGGGCGTACGGACAACAGCTATAACAAAATTCAGTCACAGGTCAAGTATAATAATTATAAAAACGTTACCTGTAGAAGCGGCAGTGGTTGGAAGGGTAAATCCGGAGGCTGTTTTAGAAGGCGCTCCAAAGGAAAGAGACATTTTATTTAAAAAGTTTTGTCTTTGTTTAAATAAATACTTGACCAATCCTATAAAAACCTGCAAACCAACTGAAAATTCACCTTTCAAAAAGAAAATATCCACCAAAACTGTCAAAAAATTGGTAAGGGATTGTTGTTACCTCATCTCTGCCTTTGTTAATCTCTGGTCTCTGGTCAGATTCTGTGGTGGAGCATTGCACGCGACGGTTTAACCTCCGTTGGCTCCTAGCAGAATCCGTTGTATTTCGGAAGTGCTTGGTGAGCAAAGTTGAGTAAATATTGGTTATTTTTCTTCTTTTTATGTGTTTGTCTCTGACCAAAGGTGAAAATCCTCGTCGGCAATGGGCAAATGATCTTAGCAATTTTGCCCAACAGTAATTGTGAAACGTATTGCACTACTATTAATCTCTGGTGATTTTGGGTACGTTAAGGAATAACCCAAAAGGAGAAAAGAAGTACCAGGTACTAATATCATAAGGAAATGAACTTACAAATACTTTTTCAAAAAATTCATTAATATGCACAAAACGCGATCAGATCGTTTCGGAATGAATTGTCTAATCTTATTATTGATCTTTAATTTGTTTCTTTTCTGTGCTATTAGCTTAACCAATCACAGACATAACACTAACCAAATCTGACGAATATCGACTGATATGAAACATCATTTCCGAGTCTGATCTGTTCTGACAGGAAGAAGGGCTTAAGGTTTAATTTTTTTTTAAATCCAAAGTGCGAACATGTTGTCCAGGGCCATCTTATCAGGTACATTCCATTTCATGCATGAACCATTAATTATAGAGTGCTGTGACCACTCTTTTGTGTGATTTACTTGTAATAGGTCGTTTATGTAATACCTCCAATTTTGACAGCCTTCTTATTTTAGGCCAAAACTCTAGAGCGCTCCTTGCGTTTTCATCAAGAGCTACATCAACCTCAGTTACTAATAGTACATTAGCGAAGGTAGATGAAAACAAACCAGCTGAAAATATTAGACTGGTAGGAAAAAATTAATACTGTTGATAATTCTTATAAGTAAATAAATATCATTTTAAGGCTAGATCCGAACACTTTTTGAATCATTTGATTGTCATTGGTAACATAAACTATAAGATTAAAGCCTGATTTTCACTTTGCAAAAAGGTGCTCTAAGATTTTCACTTTTCAAACAGGTGCTGCAATTTGATGGAGTAGCTTGCTGCCTTTTCTAGTTGCTGCAATTTTTGGCATGAGTATTTAGAGGGTGAAATTCTCCACAAACAAAAACAAATTTGTAGTGTTGTAACTTTAAAAAATAACTTTGCAAGTTATGAATTAACACTAATTGAAAAGTGTCATAACTTTAGTCTGTGTTATTTATCTATCCAGATTATCTAAAATATCTTTTCCAAATAAAGCTCAAAAAATTAGGAAAAAATAACTTATTGTTTCATAATTCTGAAAATTATTCCAATTTCAAATCTATCCAAATACAATCAACATAAATTTTCAGTTGGCAACAAAAAACTACTACATCTCGTTTGCTGTTAGAAAAATGAATTTCATTCATTTTGCAAAAGTAACAAGTTCTAATTTGATATGACTTTTGTGGTGTCCACGATAAATTGCATCATGCAAATCGGACATGAGGGTGGGATTGGGATTGTAGGAGTGAGATTGTTATTTTAGTGTTAAATGAAGCCACAATGAAAATGAATGAAATTGAGTCTTGTGATGTTGCAGTTACTATTCCAACAATGGTTTTGGTAAAAAGAAAATTCAATTTAAAAGATGAATATCAACAAAGATTCAATGGATATTATGACTTCTAACAGGAAGCAAAAATTTTTTGATACCATTTTTATGAACAGAAATTTTATGGCTGACAATGCTGTTGTAATTTTAGGTAAGACAGGAACCAGGTAAAGTTCGTTGCGGGTTCATTCCTGACGAATGGTTTCAATTTTTCTACAAAAAAACTGGTGTTACTGGACCCTATACATTTGTCTTTACTCTGTCAACTTACCTTGTAAGCAAAGAAATTTATGTTATGGATCATGATTTTTATAATGGATTAGGATTGTTGGTTATGTGGATCTATGGCATCAAAAAGTTTGGACCCAAGGTTGCTGAATACTTAGATAAAGAAGTTGATGTAAGTAACATGTTGTAGATAGATGATATCCAATTTTTAAATTTTCATATTTGTCAATACATTTTTTAACCACTACTTAGTGTCGATATAAAAATCTTAAATAAATTTTATCTTTTTGTTTTAGTCATATGAAAAGAATTGGAACCAAAGCCGCATAGATGAGAAGGATGCTCTGCAAGGTGGAATTGATAACGAACAAAAGGCACAGTGGAGCATGGAAGGTAAGGTGGCAAGTTGGAAATATTTTCCAAATTTCAATTCCAAGCTTTACATGTATTTAATATTAAGTTAAATTTAAGGTCAGAACCTTCTCATAGAAGCCAAGAGAGAGAATGTTGGTCTTCAATTGGAAGCTACTTACAGACAAAGATTAATTGATGCTTACAGCGAAGTTAAGAAACGTCTGGATTACCAAGTTGAAAAAAATAATTCTGAGAAAAGAATAAGCCAAAAGAATCTTGTTGAATATGTTGTTGCTCGAGTGAAAGCCTCCATCACTGCAGATCAAGAAAAACAAAACCTGAATAAGTGTATTTCAGATTTAGCTGCATTAGCCAAAGCCTAAAATATATTTCTTTGCAATTCTAGATGTAACATCTTGTATGTAAATTAAATTTCAAATCATCAATAATACAGATATGAATATTGCATGTGCATTAAATTCATTAAATTCTTTTTGTTTAATATTTGCTGATTTAATATTTTGGAGACTCAGAAAGCTGCACTGAATTATGTATATGGAATACTCGCATACAGTGAGGTTCCAGAAAAAGGCCAATCGCTGTAGTACTCTTTCAAAGTTTTTAAAAAGATTTTAAGGGGGATGTGGTGCCACCATATAATTATTAGATAATACAGTGGCCCTACGACGGTAAAAATTCATACGCCGCAGGCGCAATGAGAAGTTTATGATTTTCTGCGCATGCCTCTACCCGCACTTTGCGCCATTTTCTTTGTAAACAACGATGTTCATACACTTAACTCGTTTTCCGCGAACATTTAACGAAATCTAGGAATATTTTGAGGAAATACTGCCGCAAAATTCCGCATCCCAACTTTCTCAATCTTGTACATGCGCATGTTGAATGGACGTCATACGTTTCTGTTTTATCGGCATAGGCAGTAGCTAGTAGCTATATGGGTGCCACTATCAAAGTAATTTGAATAGCTACTCTTGTATTTTTTATTTATGTAAAATTTGGCAGTGGCTACGTCATGCCACCATGCCATTCGCAACTACATGTAGTGATCGACAAGCAGAGCCACAAAATATTTCACAGGGTAAAAGTCATCTGGCTTTCTGCTTTTTTTCCCTCATTTCTCATTACCAGAACCTAATATATTAATTTATCTTTTATTATTATATTATGCGAACATACCCATATAGGAATGCAATCTCTCTTAATTTCAATTTTACAAATTAAGAGTATTGGTCGCAATCTCTTATAATAGTGGAATATTTCTTGAAATACGAAGTACTATCTCATGTTCTGGAAAATTTGCAGTGTGTAGTCGCGAATGTATTCTCCGATTGTGGCGTTATTAAACGTAAAGAATCGTGCCGTTTAGTTTCAATATTTACATCTATCTTTGACCAGTTTAATCTACTTGCATAAGCAAAAATAAAGTATTATTTTTTGGAAAATGACGCAAGAGCAACATATTACGATAAAATCCATTTTTATCGTAATATAATATTAATTTATATTAAAATTTAATGTGAAACCCGAAGTTTTGTAAAAAACAAAAACTCATTTTAATTGGACCTAGTACAAGGGCAAATTTTTACATAAAAAAATATTAGGATATTTCTTGAGTGACAGTCATCAACAGAGCAATTTGTGAGTTTGAATTTGCCTTTAATGTTGAACTTTCGGATGAATCCATAAAGGCACTAATCCGAAATGGAAGCTTATCCAAAGTACACCAATTTCTTGGATTTTGAATTTAATTTTGTAGTGTTCCGAGGACGCATGCCGAATATTAGCAAGCAGAAATCATAAAACACGAATATAGGGCAGCACAAGCTTTGATCAGCTGTCAATGCCAGTACCAATTGATTAAGAAATATTAAATATGCCAACGAATTTTTTAAGCAACCTGTTTTAAAGCGCTTATTTAATGGGGTGAAAAATAAAACCATTTTGTACACAAATAAGGTGGTTGATAATACTGCAACAATTAAATTAATAAATTAAAATACAAGTGTAAAAGTAAGTACTAAACTTATATCATACAATTACACAAACTCACACAAATTTTATATGGCACGTTACACAGAGTGTACAAAATTTAACTTTAATCAGAAAAGTAAATGTTTGATAAATTTGGCCACTTTCAAACCTACAGTTACAATAATTAGGTGATTATAATTATCTATTTACAATAAATCTAATCTACGTTTTAGTCTTTAATTAAAGTTTTGATATTAAAAGATTATATTTACATTTTTTTATAATAAATTCGGACAATACATAATACACACTTAGTTCTAGTTTTCTATGCAGTGCTTAGAACAATAAATATACAGCACAATGATTTTAATATAATTATTTACATCATTAAACATAGAATGAAAAGGAGTCTTAATATTCAGTACCGTTCAAAAATTAAGTGGGTATGTGTCATATACGAAAGTATTTAAGTGTTATACCCGCCCTTAATACAGTATTACTGATAAAAGGAGTATTAAAAAAAGTCTGTTGATCCAAATATGTCAGTCTTTACTTTGTGTACTTTTAAACATTAGATGTGTGCTATAATCAGACTACTGAAAAATAATTTGCGAAGTGGTAATAAAGCTAGTAGTCACGACTCCTTTCTAAAAAATATTCGGTAAATAGGTTTCATCATAGGCAGTAAAATTTTACATGTGAGATTCACATCTGTCAAAATTAAATACGTTTGGAAGCATATGAGATATCTAAATTACAAAATATAATAATAAATAAATAATTTGATAAGTACATATGTGTAAAAAATGTTTCGGATTCAAATAACCTCTTGTCAAGATTTTTCAATGAACATATGAGTACCTAGGTACACATGTCATAAAATAATGCCAATACAAAAGCCTTATCATGCAAACATATAGGCATTTAACATGGTTAAATTTCTATGTTACAGATTTACTAAGTACTTTGGACATAATTTTCAAAAAGTACGTCTATATATACTTGATGTCCGAGAACATCTTGCTGTAACTAGATTAATTTTTTTCATCAAAATAATTAGACATTTACTTATGCTGCGGAGAATTATTTAAATTTATCAGATCCGCTATTTGGAAAGCAGTCTTAACCAAACTCATGAACAAATATCAAAAAAGCACATAAATTATTTTAGTTCTCATAGTAAAACAAACCTCTGTTTTAAATAAAATGTAAAAGTAAAATTGCTTGAAAAGTTAACATGCAAAACTCAAAAATTGCATAGGGTTCCGAGAAATATCCCCTAGCTAGACCTAGGTAGATATAAGTATCTAAATAAATACGGAAGAGAGCAATAAATGAGGTTTTACTGCGACATATCGCATTTTTGTCATACTAACACAACTATATCACATTTTAAAAGTCAAGTTAAGTATTACCAGTATAAATGGTTCATTGTGTCCCCAGATTTTGTTTTTGTATCCCATTAATTGCGCAAGTGTTCTTCAAGGATAAATTTCTAGTTACACATATGTTCTTCCTTTCTGGACCGACAAGTTTCACACTCCACGCTGCAGCACCATTTAAACCGGCAGTTGCATTTTTCTTCCGAATCCTTTACTCTGGTCTGATATCCTCTCCCACAACAAAGTAGGGGACACCCATCTATAGCTTGACTTTGTAAGTGACATATTCGACCTTTTGTTCCCAGAATATTTAACCTAAAAAGGAAATCCTACAATATAAATATATACTCAATTGCGTTTTAATTTTGTTTAAACGTTAACAAAGAATTCTTATAATATAATTAAATATTTTTTTTTACTCACCCTTCATTTTTCTCACAGTAGTCTGGAGAATCATCAAGATACACCAAATCCGTTCTATTTGGCTTTTTCAGGTCTGGGCTTATAGCTTTCAGTTTTTTTCTTCTCCTTTCCACAAATTTTACATGGGATGCTCCCTCATACCTAACAATAAAAAAGAGTTGATAGCAAAACAACCAATAAAGTTATAAGCGTGTTTTTCCATTTTCCTTGGGGTATTTAGTATTGAGTAGAAAAGATGACCCGTTAATGACATATTGTTTATGGGGAAATATTACGACTTCTATTGTACCGTTTTTAATTTTTTCGTGTGGTTTTTCTACTACCGAAAATCGAGAAAATTTACGGGCATACTGTTTTTTTTGCTAATATGCCATTTTTAATTACAATATTTAGATGAAAATTGGATCCTAACGAGTTAATTATACATACCAAGTTTCAACAAAATATGTAAAAAAACTACGAGATTTATAAATAACCATGTTGTTTTTCAAATAAAAGTTTAACGTCCGTGTGGGAAAATGAAAATGACAATAAAAATTTCAGTGTTTTACTTTAATCTGTCTTTAACGGTCCCCCCCCCCCCCTTTAACAAAAATGTTAATAAAGAAAAATAAAAGAAAAAGATTTTTGGTTTACGTTTATTTTGATTTTTTTCATGAAATTGAAGCTTAATCAATTATTGAACCCTTTGTCGCGAGTTTTTTTATTTGTTAGAAGTAATAACCTTTAAATATGCTATAAATTTTCGACAAACTGCTTCAAATAATAACAGTTTTCGAAAATTGTTTAAGTAGTTTAAGGTAACATCAATTTAAACATTGTCCCTGATTTTGATATTCTTATATAATTCTTTTCAAAATAATAAATTACGAGATGTATGCTTTCCGTCTTTACGATGTGTTATGGATTTTTGAGCTGTAATTGAAGAAAATATATTAACATATTTTTGTCATGTTTGTGTCGGGTTTCCAACGTAAAAAACTTTTTTTAAACTAACTAACCAAAAGTATGCATACCTGTGGTAAAGCCCTTCTGCTACGTTCCTGAAGGCTGGAAGCCGTCTCCAACAAATCTGCATGCTGCAAGAACCTGAGACCCCATGACATTTACATGTCCGTTGCATACGAGATCTGACTCCCTTCAAGAAATAAAGTTAAAAAAATAAATTCATACCTCGTAGTACTATTTGGGAGCTAATAAAGTTTTCCACTTTAATACGACTAATTGAGAAAAACAAAAGTAGACAATGAGAACACGAATGTCAAAATTTATGGTCAGCTTCACAGGTAAAAAGTTTTTTTCTGAACAATTATGAATTGTTATTTTAATAACTGTTAAACCCAGAATTTTTACGCAGGGAAGTTTCAAACCAAACCACCACAAATGTACATTAGCAGAAAATGCATACGTAGTTTTAAGATCATTATGCAAAAAGAATGCAGTTAAACAATTAAAGAATTAAAAAACCATATGGCTATTAGAAAATATAGTGGCCCTATTACGGTAACTTAACTTGTTTTCGCAGAACAATTAGCGAGATTAGGCATATTTTGAGAAAATACTGCCGCAAAAATGCCGCGTCCAAACTTATAGACGATCTATCAGCGACCATGGTCATTGGTTAAAAACTAGATTTTAAATCCCGACTTTCTCAAATTTTTTGTTATAGTTGCTTCATAAATTCCTCTGTTATCGGCATAGGCAGGGCCTCTATATCTCTAGTAGCAATATGAAAAAATAACAGGGTCACTTATAAAAATGTCTTCGCTATTAAAAAGTACTGACAACATTTTAAGAAAATTAAATAAATATACCGCCAATAAAATTCGCACTGCAAATTCAATAAAATATTAAATATTGAAAAACTGCAGGTGTATTGGGTTTCTACTTGCTGCAGCTTATATATTTATAATTGTCAGAGCATAGTAAATGAGTTTAAATGTAAACAAAATAAATAAATGTAAGGTCCCATTAAAACGCATCTCTTTCGTAACTCAATCAGGTTTGACTCAGCTGACGCTAGTAGATTTGTTCCATAATTTTTTCCTTTGAAAAATGCTTTGTATAACTTACAGAATTTTCACTGAAAAAAATATTGCAGCTATGGGCTGGCTGATTTTTGCAGTAAAGGATGCAAGTAGACTCCCGAAAAACAAAATGTGAAAATAAAAATGTAATATGTAATGCTAATTAATATAATTTTGTTTTTTAATCAACTTACTCGTCTTCCGGCCTCATAATTATGAAGGTTCATCAGTCCCAAAGCAGTATTTGGATCTTCCATAACATCAAAGAATTCTCTGGAAAATCGTTCACCGTATCTAATGTCGTCTGAGCATCCACCCCACTTCCACTTTTGTTTGCGTTTCTGTCTAAAGAAATTGCATGTTTATTGTAATCAAGCTTAGCTTAGCTAAGCTTAGTCGAAAAAAAAAAGACATCTTTTTAAAGCTTTTTAAATTGGAGTCCACATCTTTGTTTTTAATATTGATTATTAAAAGTGGCGACGGTTTTTTGTTTTGTTGCTGTTGTTTTGTTTTTTCTTAAGCTATATTGATGGACTGAAACAACTTCATGAATGGGTAAAGGGGTCAAAATCTACTCAAATTATGAAAAATTCCAAAATCAACTCATGCTGTATTTAATGTCCTTTAATGTTACTTCGTACGCTTTATACCGAAAGATTTTCAAGTTTTGTATTGGGAGTAAAAACTCCTTCTATTTAAGGGACTAAAATACGTAGGGGAGGGTGGGGCAAGGCGGGCGTCCTGGAGCAAGGAGGCTTATATAAAAAATTTACCAATTTTTTTTCTTTTTTTCTTCTAATAATTATAAATTCTGGTTATTTGTACATTTTTAGCCCTTTGCGTCATACCACGGGTCAAATGGACCGCTTAAAAATTCTTAAAAACAGCTATCCCATATTATTATAACCGAAGCCAGAGCTTTCGAAAATATTATAAATACCAAAAATAATTGTTTTAATCGATAGAAAAATAGTTACTAATCAGTAACGTTCTTTTAATTACTTGATGGTTAAAAGCCACAACAAATAATAAAAGTCTTACTTAAAATTTTGAGTTCTAATGTCACATTTACATTTGGTACATGGAAACGGTCACAGTGTACTTAGTTACACTTAGTTTTGCTTGTTTTTAAAATGAAAAGAAAAATTGACTGCAATGTGACTCAGCTTTACATCTACCAAAAGAGTTTCAAAAAATTGTGCTTAACAAATTTACACAACTTTACCTAATTTTGATGTCGCAAGTGCAGTAATCTTTTAGATCGCCTCTCGTACATGCTCGCGCAACCGCATATGCCACGGAGGCTGCGGATATAGCACTAAGATACGCGGCTTCTCTACTATCTGAAAAAAAAATGCACCGTCCCCAGTAATATATCGTATATTTATATGGAGAGGGCTGGGTAGAACTTTATGGTATCTGCAAATAGATCTCATTGACCTCCATCTTCGATTAAAATTTCAATCTTCTTGTAAAAACGTAAATGATGTAAAAAATAAAAAAATCTAAAATTTTTGAGGAAAAACATGATAAACATGAAAATAATAAATAGAAAATATTAACCGAAAATGTAGGTATGGTGGACATTATAGTATCTACGGATAGACTTCATTGATGTCCATCTATATTTCCTATCTATCTTCGTGCCAAATTTCAGTCGAGATTTTTCCAACAAATTTATATTTTTGATTTTTTAAGATATCAACCTTGCTTCGAGAAGGTTGAAATTTTATTCGAAGATGGAGGTCAATGAGGTCTATCCACAGATGCCATAAAGTTCCCACCAGTCCTATCCATTTAAATATAATTAATTACTTCTTATAAATTTACAGACTCACACAAAAACCGTTCCCGAGGGCAAACGGTATAACTTGTGTGAATCTCTTTGGTTTCATTGGATTGAGGAAGGACCAAAGTATCTAACGTATAAATTTGAATTTCTCACAATTATTAATAAATAATATATAAAACGTTCAATATTGATCATTGATTTTTAAATTATTTTTTCCATTTGAAATGAGATTTTAAGGTTATTTGTCAACTTATATTGATCCGAGAAGGTTAAAACTTTTACAGAAAATGCACACCAAAGTGATCTATTCGCACATACTATAATTTCAGTTATACCGTTTGCCGTCGGGAACGGTTTTTGTGTGAGGCTGTATATTTATAAGGAGTAATTAAATGTATTTAAATGGAGGGGGCTGGTAATTTCTGTTCAGAGGAAAAGATTCAATTAAATTAAATCTTAAATCTTTTTATCGTGAATTAAACTGTCAATTTTTTTAAGCTGCTCAAAGATACGATTGGAAATTCGATAAAAATGCGATCTAACAGGAAAACGAATTGCAAAGATTAAAAGTTTTCATCTTGTTATTGATAAAAAAAAACTTCTTAATCTGCAAAACTTTTCTACTCGGACACCATTGTATACATATATATATATATATATATATATATATATATATATATATATATATATATATATATATATATATATATATATATATATATATATATATATATATATATGTCACGAATAAAGCGTTAACTTGGCTAGTTTATAAACCAGCTGAATAGTATACAAACTATTCAATTGTCTAGTTATTTTGATGGAAAATAAAATTTGTATGAAAATAGCTATGAATATTGATTGGTTTGTGGTTAGTTTATGAACAAGCTAAAAACCCTGGTTAATTTGTATACTTTTCTTATGGTACTTTGGCGATAAATGTTGTATAGTTTCTATACTAGCTGGATAGTATACAAATCAACCAAGACTAGGAGCTATTTTAGTTAAAAAAACTAACCAGATATAAATTAAATTACACCCACTTACGTATGGCTACTACATTTCCGAACGAATTGTTCTTGTTATCGAACGTAGTACAGTTCCATCTGCTGAACTGGAACTGGTGTTGACATTCATCTTTTGCTAGTTTTGCACCGCTACCTACTATCTAAAACAAAAAAATCATCACGATATACAGGGTGTCCACTTCAATGATTTGGAGTTATTAGAGATTTTCTACAGCAAAAATAGAGAGTTTTTCAGATTTTTTAGGTCTATTTTGATGAAATTAAGGAAATACATTGTGTTGAAACTTAAAAATTAAGTTCTTGCTGTAAATATGACAATTCTTAATTTCTCCACTTCAAATTTGGCAGAATATGGAGTTTGGTGCAAAGAATTTAAAAATATTATTATACTTAGCAACTGTTTGCAAACAGCAGGGCATACTGTGACTAATTAAAATAAATAAGCCACACAATGTGATTTGTGGAATTACAATTTTAAAAACCTTCCTTCTATTCTATATCATTTTAAAGGACGTTTATGGTTATTGTACAGTACCAGACAGGATCAATTTCTGTTTCTCTTAATGATGCCGGTTGAAACAATGTGGACTGTATCACTGTTCTCGAGAATTACCAAAAGTCGTAGTCCTTCGAGCTATTTTTATTATATTTTTGAATTCTAAAACATATACAGGCTGACTTATTGGAAAAAATGAAGTTTTAAGCATTCTTCAGAATCGTCACAATTTGAACGATCCTGTATATGTACTATGAAATAATCATTTATCTAGATGTATCTAACGCTTTCGCAATCTGCAATCAAATTTTAAGATTTTTGAGAGTTTAAATTCTAGATAGCTAAGTCAAAGTTTTAGTGTTATGATATTTTGGAGAAAAAAAAATAGTTAAAAACCAAAAAACTATTTTTAATTGTGCAGGCTTTGAATTTAGGTTGCCCGCTCTAAAAAAGTTATAATGATATAATATATATCGTATATAATGATATAAAATAATTGACAGAAAAATTTTCACAAGGATGAATAGAAGGAAGTGTTTTAAAACATTGTTTTAATATTTGGCCTATATTTTTTTGAAAAGTAACCAGTTACATACACGAAAACAGGTTAAGGTTTATATAATCAGTGAAAACATTTTTCATTTCGTCAAAAAGCACAAGTAAACCAAAATATCGGAGAACATGGAAAATTTCCACGGAAAATTTCCGTAGTTAAATTAAACATATCGATGTGGTGGGTTACACAAAGGCATATTGCATGAAAGTAAATATAAAATAAGAAGGAATATATAAAAGGGACCTAACAAAATAAAAATGAACCATAAAAGTTTAGGGCAGCTGTAAATACAACAAAGTTGTTTCATGCTGACATGATTATTAAATACTTGAATGACTAACTTATTTGTTTGATGGTGTAAATATGTGGAGTTATTGTGACATTGACATTTTTGCAACTCGATTTCGCCATAAACACGAAAATATTGTAAGGGTTCAAAAATTTAAGAGAATATGTATTTAATCGGCAATAAAAAAAATATGTGTTAGTTTTTCCAACCTAACTTAAGGCATAAATAATCTCAAGGTGTGACAACTGTCTTGTTCGTTGCATGACAATATTTACTATAAACAATTTCAGACAAAATTTTCTAATTTTCACAATGCTGTGTAAACCAACAGTTTGAAAGGTTCTTAACCAGCTCTTTTATTAGCGTCTGAGTTTAATCTACGGTAATAGCAAATATTTGATTATCCATAAACTTGTCGGTTGTAGTGAGTGAGTTTTTTGTATTCACCTTCTGGAAGAGAGAGACGATATTTATGAGAACCAAAAAAGGATATTTATATGTATACAGGGTGTTTCGCGGTTGGTGGTAAGCGGCGATGCTCCATCGAACTAAATTTTTTAAAGGTGCGACGTTGCCGCTTCTTCAGAAAAGAAGCATCAATATTGAAATTTTAAATGGGACACGATATCTATTATTGAATTTTCCGCTCCGTTAATACTTAATGATTGTTTTTGGATATTACATCCCTATACTTATCTTTAGCGGTTTTCGAGAAAATTTGTCCCTTTGTAGTAGAAAGTTAAAATTTTGAACATAGCTTAGGCAAATACCCAACAGAATTTCTTAATATCGAAATTAGTTCTATATCATACAGGGTTCGTCAAAAGTAATGATTTGACTACAAGATTCAAAAATGGTGGTCCCCTTTCAAATAACGTGGCACGTCCCTATATTTAAAACGTTTGATTTCTGAAATAAAAGTTTCTCTGAAAACTAGATTACTTTGGCATCTTTTAGGTGGGCGACGAAGCAAAATTTTCAAAAGAGGGTGTGTCTACAATCCTCATGCCACAAAGGTGATGGTATTTCAAAGGAAATTTAGTTTAAATGAGTGGTGCTTGTTAAAAGATAATAAAGTAAGTTTTTAATTTAATTTAAGTTAATAAATTTAATGGCTCAAGATACCTTCAAATATTAAGAACAGTGCTAAATGATTTTCTGGAGAATGTTAGCCATCGGGAACATCGGACCGTTTGGTTCCAACTAGATGGGGTATGGCCTGTTCATAGATATAAGAAACTGACCAATTGCTTTTAAATGGGATTATCCAAGGGTGGTCATTAACATACAATGCAACAAGATTATTACCTAAAGTTTCGGAATTTAAATTCAGGTAAAATTGTGGTCCGCAATAGAAAATAATTTTATACCTACTGTACCTACTATATATTCTTTGGTTTGGTATACTACTTACTTTAAGTTTATTAGTAATCATTCTAATTTCGTGTGTAATACAGCGTGTGTTGAATCGTGTGCGAATTATGCAAAATATGTGCGAGTCTAGTGTATCTCAGGAGATGCTCCCGCCCAAATGTAGAAAACACTATTCTATTGAGAGTAAGGAAGTTATAAACAATGTTTATGTGACTCTAATTGAACGCAAGCAAGCATCTTTAGAAAAAACGGCCACATTGACGAAAATTCCAACATCAACTGTATGGAAAATTGTGAATAATCCCATTTCAGCGAGGAAAAAAAGCGATGTTGACATTTTCTCGAGTGTAGATGCAAGTGATCAAGATATAATACGGCGTAAAATTTACCAGTTATACAAGGAACAAAGCGTGCCTACATCAGATATCTTAATTAGGAGGCTTGAAAAAGATAAAACCGGTGTTAAATGTGGCAGAACTACCTTATGGAAGTGTATTCAACACATGGGTTTTAGATTTAAAAAAACTGACAAAAGGCAAGTTTTAATGGAATCTTTTAGAATTCGGAAATGGCGACTGGAATATCTAGGAAAAAATAGGATTTACAGAGAACAACAAAGGCCAATTATTTACTTGGATGAAACCTGGTTCGACACTTATGATACCCCGGAGAAGGGTTGGGTTGATTCAACTGATAAGTGTAAAACAAACGCGCCATCAACTGTATGGAAAATTGTGAATAATCCCATTTCAGCGAGGAAAAAAAGAAGCGATGTTGACATTTTCTCGAGTGTAGATGAAAGTGATCAAGATCAAGCAATTAATTGAGGTTCTACAAAGCTTGAACCTACAAAAGGAATACGTCTGTGATAATTATGCAAAAAATCTAGGGCATACTGTTTTAAGGCTTTCACCTTACCACTGTATATTTAATCCCATTGAACATATTTGGCACCAACTGAAATCTGCCATTCGTCGTAACAATGTTTTTCCCCGTGTTAACTCCAATGTGGTCAAACTTATAGACACCGAAGTTTTTAACAACAAGGTTGAGCAAATTCTGTTAAACATATAGAAAAAGCAGAAAAATCGCATATCCATATTGCAAATAATATAGAACAAATAATAATTAGAACAGGCGATGATAGCGATATATATTATATATGATATATTATTATATTTTAAGTAATTTAAGTAGGTAATAAAAATAATTTGTAATTTTATTTTAGATTTAAACATAAACACATACATAGATAAATATTGTTTAGTATCTTTCCTAAAACTCCAAATAATTAAATTCTAAGCAAAGTAGGGACCTGTTCGGCCATATTTAATTCTTACAGCTTGCCCGGGTCTTTCCTTAATTCATATCAGTTAGTCACTTTCTTATATCTATGAACAGACTTTACCGACTCACTGCACTGAAAAGGTGTCACAAGAATAATACGAATTATTTGGGGTCGAAGATCTCCCAACACTAGATTTTTACCTATGGGGTGCGCTAAATCCACGCGTGTATTTGACGCCGGTGCAGAGCAAGGAAGAGTTACGTCATCGGATTGTACCGATGCTTTGAACAAATAGATCTATCGAAGATAAAGAAGGCTACTGCCATCAGTCCATTTCAACGAACTTTAAATTAACACTTCGAACACCTAATGTAAAAATGGGATTCATTTTTAATTTTATTGTTGTAAACATATTTTAAAATATTTTTCATAAAATGGTTTGTTAAACTCATTTAAGCTTATGTTAAGCTCTTAATTCTGTCAAATTTTCTATGGTTCATGTGTTGTAAATCAGGATTCGTTTCTTTAAATTTTCTGCATGTCATGACTATAATGTGGTTGCATTGTCCATGCATAATAAACAAATTAATGCAAACAGCATTCGAATACTGGTTTCCTTCCATTTTGAACCGCCTTTATAGACAAAATTTGCACCACAATTAATAATGACTAAGTTTTTATTGAACTGTGAAACGGAAAATGAATTATTTAACATAAGACGAATATTTTATGGCCACGTAAAAATGAATTATGCCAAAGTAATCCAGTTTTCAGAGAAACTTGCTTTAATTTTAGAAACCAAACGATTTAGTTATAGGGGCATGATACATCATTTGAAAGGGATAATTGGTTCTACATTTAAAAAAATGCACTTTCCACCATTTTTGTAATACGTAATCATTAGTTTGGCCAATCCTGTATGATATAGAACTAATTTCCCTTTAAGCTACGTCCAAAATTTTTGCTTTATACTGGCGCCAGTGCCGTAGTAATAAAAATTTAATTGAATTTATGTTTTGACCAAAAATTAAAGAATAAATTAATTTTTCGAGAACCACTAAAGAAACGAACCTATTATTCGAAAACAATCATAACGTATTAACGGATCGAAAAATGCAATAATATACATGGTGTCCCATTTAAATTTCAATGATGATGCTACTTTTTCAAAGAAGCCGCAACGTCGCAGCGTTAAATATTTTAGATCATCGCCGCTTCAGGAACTAAAATAATTTTCAGAAAAATCTAATGTACCGTTCGCCGTAAACGTCTAAGGTACCGTCAACCCTAAAACGCCAGCGGAGACTACAGCGTCCTCTTGCAGCCGGTGAGAAATTGTAATGAATTGCACGCAGGACAATATTAGAAAAGTAATTCTTTTAATTTAATTAAAAATTAAATTATTAATTGCAAAAAAGGCCATTTTATTGGGATAAAGTGTTTTGGGATAAATCAAAAAATATTTTTTTAATCATTATTACTATTTTTATTACTATTACTTACCGGTAAAATCAAATCATATTTTTCACATAATTGCCTTTGTTTCTCTACGAAGAAATCTATCTTCTGGCACTTATTTCTATGTTCATCTGGTGTAAGCTCAAGCGATTCCTTTATTGTTAGTTCCGATCCTAACTGCCTACAACAATTTACTAGATTAGATTCATATGACGTAACTGGATAATTAAGATTTTATTTTGTATTCATTATTTTCGCTCACATTGGTAAATCATATTTCGTGTTTAATTATAATTAAATTTATAAGAATAAAGTTTTATTGTTCTGAGGATTACAACGTGTATGTACGATGTGATTCGAACTTGATACCCTGGGCCTATATCAATAGAACGAATAACACAAACGCAAATTAGGTTGATAAGGAGCAAAGTGGAATGTAACGTAATTCACAATATTTTTCCACAACCATACTATTTTGTGTCATAATGAGGTATCTGATAGAGCTGGATTTGGATTTGTATTTTAGCTTATTTCGTCTCAGTGTCGTAGTCGAAGAAATTTTGAAAACCTTCCTACACCATTGTAAAGGAAATTTGTAAATATCATTATTATTTAGAATTATAAAAAATATATCGGCTGAAGTTTTAATCATTTCCAGAATCATCAATTGAAACGATCCTGTATATGTACTAGGCTTGTGGAATTAACCGGTCAAATTTATTTGTGTCAATTGACACAGTCAACTGACCAGTCAATTGACCGAAATAATTTTAAAAATATAATGAAATTTATATTTATTTATTTCAGAAGGATCTTTGAAATCAACTTCAAGTGCTTTGCTTCGCCCTGAAACAGCTTCCACACAATTAATTTACCAAATATTTAAATCTTGCCTCACCTTTCTTATGTTAAGAATATACGAGAGTCGTCTTCCGAGACTGTGTTTTGATCAGCAGCTATTTCTAATCAATAAACATGTCATATTAGAAAGCTGTTTCGTGGGTTAGAATGTTTTAAAACAATTTTTTTTGAAGCAGGTCTCACCACTGAAGTCGGTTCACACTACACGAATTTTTACTCAAGCTCTGCAACCTCTGCTCTACCATCCAGCTATTTAAATTGTCAACTGCCAATGTGTATTTTAAGAATTATCGTACAGTTAAGATTGAGTAATAACATTTTTTCTGAAATTCTGCTATAAAGGCTGCGCTTACTTAATTAAACCGATCAGATCTGTTCCGTATGTAACACTAAACAATTTGCTACCACTTGCCTAATTTACAGTGGAGTTTGGACTCATGTGGGTCAAAACGGTTTGCTTATCTTATTATAAATATATGAATGACCCGCGCCTTTCTAACAAATGAGTAAAAATTATAATTTGTATCTGAGTATTTGAAATCACACGTTGATAGATGCTTATTAGTTTACTATTTTTAGGCTTATGTAATGCCTGATGCAGATTTCTTGTTGTAAAAATGCTGATAAAAAATAAATAATAATAATAAAAATAATAAATAACAGTTATTTATTTATATTGTGCGTTACGTCGCCGTCGCCTCGTTCTGAGAACTAAATGGGGTGGATGATTTTATTGAGATTCCCCGAATCGCTAGTATAGTATTCGGGTACTCCTTGAACAGGGTTATAGGTAAGTTGGATATTACAAACGCATAATAATTTATTATAAAGTAGATATTATTATTAAATTATGATAGATAACACTCTACAATTGCAAGATGTTATTTAAAACATTTTGATAGAATTTGACTAATAGAATTTGACTAGTCAATTAAGGAAGTGAATTGACGGTGAATTGACCAGCCCCAACACTAATATGTACCATGGAATAATAAGAATTTATCTATATGTACCTAATATACGGGGCTTTTGCAAATTTCTACCAAATTTTAAACTTTTTGCGAGTTAAAAATCTAGCTAACTTTTAATTTTAGGTATGATATTTTGGAAAAAAAAGGCAAATAGTTGATATTTAGAAAACCGTACTAAATGGTTACAAGAAAGTATTAAGCAAAAATAATTAGAATAAAGCAGTGGATTTTATTTAACTCAAAAACTCAAGCACCCAAATTTTCAGCAACAAAACTATTTTCGGTTCTCTGTAAACGTTCTAACCAACCATCAAATAACCGGTGAAAGCTTTGAATTTATTTTGCCTGCTCTAATAATCTTTAATTCAAACCCTCGCATATAACGATATAAAATTCATAGATCTTACGACTTACCTTAAAGAAGTTCGATTTTAATTTTTCTAGCAAACCTCATTACGTTTGTGTAATGTATGATTTTGATCCTAGTCGGCACAGTTTTTATAACAAGGTAAAAAAAGGGTTCTCTGATAAGAGCGTCGCGTCGGTCGGCTAACACGTATATATGATTTTGGAGGCTGGATTAAGGAGGGTTGGGTCGAGGGTTTGGGATTAATAATGTTAATAATTATTTATATGTGAGTAATGAGGTTCGACGAAGTCGCTCGAAAAATTAAGGTAAGGTAAGTCGTTTGATCAATTAATTTTCCTTCGCAACTTCGTCTCACTCATTACGTTTGTGTAGCTGTTTAAAGGCGAACGAGATAACTATCTTGCCCGATTACAATATGTTGTATTCGTACATAATGAACTAATGATATTAAAATAATACAGTTTCTCAATTTTCAAATTATTTAAATCATTGAACAAATTTTAGTAGTATATAATATCTATACGTTGCCCAACATTACGAGAACTAAGTATGTATTGTCTAACATTAGTTTCTACAAACATTAATACATTTAACATTATTAACATAACACAACATTTAACAACAATTAAGATAACAATTTACTAAATTTATTAATTATTATATTGTTATCAATGTATTAATTTTTAGAGAGTATGCGGTTTGCAAAGTCACAAGGGTTTGAAATAATAGGCCCATTATAGAATTTTGCAAACGTTCCCGACATCTCTTTCCAACCTTATATTTTGTAAATTAGATCGATGTTTACTCCATTTGTAAATGCTGTTGACGTTGCAGCGTGTCTGACGCTATGACTTTTAAATATGTCAGTGTTTATGCCATTTTTCTTTAGCGTCATTTTGATCCATCTATGGTTTGGCTGCTAGCCGGACCGAAAGGTCTTTTGTGAGTCACACACTGGATTCGGATTCGATATTTTCTACAGATATTTTGGAGAGTGTCTCAGCCCTGTGGGCTGTAGTTAGAGCTACTAAGGGAGCAAGCTTTAAGGTAAGTTTTTCTAGAGTTAAAGAGGTTAATGGATACAAAGGTTCCAAGTAATTAAGCACGATTTGGTTAGTACGAAGTAACATGGGCTCCGTCACTTCATACCTGGGTCTAGGCGGTTTTATGTTAAAAATCCTTTAATAAACCTTTTAATTAATGTTTCGTCGTTTGAATGAAAGTTCAAAAATTAAATTTAAGGCCGAGCGCTACGAATTTACTATTAAATAGCCTTTTTCGAATAGGTTTTGTAGAACATCTATAATGTGAAACCCCTCATTGCTGTAGATGTTCTTTCTTATGCAATATTGCCACCAGGTGGTGACACATGAGATCGTGGCTATTATAAAGGGGATAGCAGTACGAGGTACATTTTTTTTATTTCGAATAATTTCATTGCCACCAGGGTAAGTGATGCACACAATGAGTCAGGTTCCCTCAAAGGAGATAGAGGAAGACTTCTGTTTGGTTTAAGTATGACCGATTTGTCCATCAGCAAGTTTCTGAATAATGGATACCAAGGTTGACCTGGCAATAAGGGAACAATGAAGATACCGCAAGCTTTATCTTTTAAGAACTTCTGTACTGTTTAACTAAATTAAACAAAGCGGCGGGGAAGGCACAAAAATAGAAATTATAGTAAACGCTTCAACCGCCACGTAATATGGATCTGATTTCCACGAAATATTTTTTTTTTCCTTTTGCTATTCGAATATGACGCAATTAAGTCTATCTAGTGCACCCAAAATATTTATAATTTTTTGAAATGCAAATGAAATGAAAATTCATATTACAATTCGGTTGTGCATGTTCGAGATTTCTTGTCTGCAATATAATTTTGTTTTGAATGAAGAAAACGGAGAAATATCTCTTTTTTCACAGTATTGCCAAATTTGCCGGGCGATAGTATTTAACCATGAATATCTAAGGCTTCCCATGCGATTGATACATGAAATTACTGTAATATTATGAATTCGTAACAAACATTTTTAGTTGTCAAGTGCTGTGTCAAGCATCTTAAGCTATAATAGGCTGCTTTCATTTCTACAGCATTAATATGGTTTTTTTTTTGGTCGCTGATCAAAAATCAGGCGCTTTGTCCCATTGAGTATCCACTCCATCCTGTTTTAGACAAGTTCGCACTGTTATGCTTATATTTTACAGCCACCAGTTGAAATTTGTTTCAAGGTAGTTCGGCAAAACAATCTTAGCAATCTTAAAGGTTGTAATACTCTTGATATGTTATTTAGATAGTCTTTATAATCAACAGTTTGAACTCCAGCTGATCTAAGTTTTTTTAGAATGGGTTTAAAGATTTTTCTAAATACGAAAAGCGCTATACTAAGGCCAAATGGAAGGCATGTAAATTGCCATAAAATGAAAATTGAATTCGAATTAGTATTTCCTGTACCGTTTATGTATAGGTATAAAAAAGTATGCATTTACTAAGTCGAGTTTGGCAAGAAAGTTATTTTTTGAGATCATATTTTGAGCTACTGTGGGATTCTGTATTTTAAAATAGGGCATAACGATGAATTTATTTAGGTTTTTAAGTATAAAATAAATCTAAACTTGCCATTTGGCTTTTTTCGTGGTTTGCGATTTGTTTGATACTTGTGGTATTTCAAGGCATGTGCCCGAAAATTCTGTTTCGATGTTGAAGCTTATTAGTAGTTGGTAGGCGCCGTTCTTGAGTAATCGTTTGTGACATTTTAAAATATTCTTGAAGGTTGGTTCCAAAAAGATTTTCCTCAATTAGAGAGTTTTGCACAGTTTTGTGGCAGTTTTCTTTCAGATGCGACATAATTAGATATCGCCTGTGTAACGAGGGCGACTGATAGGTCCCCGCAATTGCTTTCGAGGCATCTATAAGTGCTGGTAATAATTCGGTTTTGTCATCGATACTTGTAGCTTGGTCTTTCACCACTTTGGTGAGTG